TTCTGTGTGAGAAAAACTATTTCTATTTACATTTTATGCGGATCAGTGCATTGCAAAAATGGATTAGATGAGAGTCTTAATGTATAAATATTGATGATTCTGAGTGAGCGAAGAAAAAATGCTTCAATAAACATACATTTCGGGTTTAATATTTGCATACATAAGCCTTGAAACCATCAAGATGTACCACAAAGTCAACATGTTTCGATCTGATGCGATAGCTGTGTGCTATACAAGTCCACTATAAGCCGATTTCACACCATCACATCTAACAAAATGTCTAATCAAAAGCAATTTTTTGCTCACAAGCCTCTCCAGGCAAGACGTTTGCAAATAATGTTTTATTAGTTTTTTGGCTTTCGCCGAGAGAGAGAGAGAGAGAGAGAGAGAGAGAGAAAGAAAACCCGAACCAGAGTTAAGCGTTAAAACAAAGGCGTTAACCACAGCACAAATATTGTAATTTGATACATAAACCACAACTTGTTTGACCGAGGCTGACAGTGCTGCGTTTTGTGTGTCGATGTCGTCGTCGTTGAACGCCAATTTTTATGTTGAATAAAACATTCGCCACCCAAACGCATACATACATACACACCACAAACATCACGTTTTTATGGCACATCCACCGATAAAAACGATACACTTTGATAAGTACACGGATATTGACACTGCAAAAGTATAAAATGTTACAAAAGCAAATGCGTGTTAGCTATCACATAGCAAAAAAATACACGCACACACCAGAAATCGATTATATGGTGTGATTTTTATGTGTTTTCTTGCTTTTGAGAAGAAAAAAAACCAGAAACCAGACTATACATAAAGCGTGAGAAACACATTTGGCTCATAACAAAACGGAATGCAAACCAAGATCGACAAATGATGGTTTTTACCCAAATTCAACGGGATTCTGTTGATTCAATCAAATTTCGAAATATATGTCCAGATGGAACCAATTTTGAAGCATAACAACTGATTTCACCACATGATTGGCGCTGTGTGTGTGTACGAGCATTAAATTCAAGCAATACAATGTCTGGAATTTAAAATAACTTGATTGTTTGCTTTATAACCCAAAACCAAATGTCACTAAAAAAAACCATTCGTTCGATTTGTACACAATGAATTCAATCGGTTTTTATCGTGATTTATACATTCTATCACGATTGCCATACTACCATCACCAATTTAAGCACAACTAAAATAGTTTGCTAACCATGGGGTTTTTTGTTTCAACGAATTGCTAGTTAAACGAATGACATGAATTGAAGTGAACGAAATCTATAATGTCATACTTAAAAGGCGAAAGTAAAACAAAAGTTTTGACGCTGTGCTGATAGCAATGCTTCTTTTGGTCGGTCGCTCTCTCTCTCTCTCTCTCTCTCTCTCTCTCTCTCTCTCTCTCTCTCCCTCTCTCTCTCTCTCTCTATCTATCTACGATTTCACTATTTCTATCCACATCTCTTCATCTGATTTTCTGTTTCACTCTCTTTACTTAGCGGTCCTTCTTGGTTCCTTACTCGCTATCGTACCCGCTCTCTGTCTCTTTTTCTCCCACTCTCTCTATCTGTCTCTTTCTTGCTTGCCCTTTGCTCTCCCTCCCACTCTCCCACTGACTCGCTTCATTTCCGTCTAAAAGAGCTGCAGATTTGTATGAATTTTCATTGGATATTTATTCTTGACAAATAAATTCTTATTTCTCAATCCATGCGAAAATGGCGACGTGTGGAATACCGACAAATGACTTTGCGAACAAAATACATAATTTTTTCTTCTTCTACCGCGTACTCGTACAACGGTGATTGCATTACCCGTTGTTATACACACACAAACCGAAAAAAAACCGAAAACTTTTCAACAGAGAACTAATGTTTGAATTGCTTGCCATTTATTCGTGAAAGACGCGAAAAAATTTTTCGACGCGCATCACTATACCTTCGTACAGTAGAAGAAAAAGCCATTGTGAGACAGAATTTTGAGTGAAACGACAACTAAAAGAAGTTGCAATTCAACCGTTCGAAACGTTCCATTATCATCACATAAAATGTCTTTAGCCATAATCCTCGTACTTACTTAAGAATATTCGAGAATGTAATGCCGAATAACATTCCGAAGCGCAGTCTCACGAAATTTGTCCAATAAATTAGTTAAAATAAATTGAACTGGAATCGTGACACAACGTTCGAATGTGAACCGACGACGGCAAATACGATGGACGTTATAAAGAACGAAAAAAAAATCAAACGTTAACTTTCAAAACAATAATAAACAATTTTCGATGAGTATATTGTATGTACGTTGTTTGTTCAGTCATGCATTGTAAGTGGGCCATTTATAAATGAATTCAAGCATGATGAAGGCGATTTCTTCGTCACTACTCGAACAAAACAACAATCAATTCCACTTTGGCTGTACAATTTCGGTGTGTACAGCCATGTATTTGTATGTTTGTGTCACATGCAAGAGAAACAATAGCGTGATTCATTTGCACGAGTCGAGCCTGCCGACGAATCTTATCGATCCAATTTGTGAACTGCAAAGCAAACAGACAAACGAACAAAACACAACACCGAAGTCTTCCTTTCGGAGTTTCTTTTATCGATGATTATGAAGAAAAAAAATACGAAAGTCGAAGGAATCATTAAGGTGCAATTCGACATTCGGTTTGACAAATCGAATACACATTCGACGCGAGCTCCAGCTGCAAATTCTATTAATATAAAGCGATGTTTTTTGTGCTCGCCGTTCAAGTGTATCGTTATCAGTGTGTGATTTTGAAACATGAAAAGAACAGAACGTGACATTTTTTGCCACGGCTCCGCCATTTAGCCTTCACCGGGACAGGCACACACAGCCGAACGCGCTATTTGTAAAATAATCTAATTTATCACCCGTTTCTAATGTTTCTGGCACCAATTTCACTATGTGTGTGTGTATGTGTAGCTGTATGCCCAAGGTTTATCTTTATCTATTTTCCCAGCAGCCGATTATTATAAAGCAACAACAGCGAATAGAAAGCGACAAATGAACAACCCAAAAACCAAATAAATCCATTTCTCACTTGATATGAAGCGAAAAATCGATATTAGCAATTATTGAAATTGACGCCAGTTGATCTCTGTGCCAATACAAAATGCGAGAGAAAACCGTTCAACTTTGGGATTTAACTTGTGCGTTTTGAACATACTGTGTCTGCTGCTGCTACTGTTATGGCATGATCCACATTTAAATTCAATCCCAAGCCCCCGTCAAACAAATTGACAAATGTTCTCAAAGGCTTAATTGAGTTCACCTATTAACCGGCATCATCCACACACAAACAAAAGGTTGAATTTTTTATGCTGTTTTTATACACTCAAAAGTAGACACTGCATTGAGCAAACAAGAGACGGAGAGAACTTAAAAAAAAAAATACTCAAACGCCCAGGTATTTTCCAATTGGTTTTTGCATACAAATTGCCAAATGCGTTGTAATAAATGCGTTACAAATAGCAAACAAATGAAAGAGAACGAGACTCTCGTTGCGAGAGAACAACGAGTGTGTGAGAGCGAGAGCGAGAGAGAGAGAGACGTATTGACAAACAAATCGGCGCATAAAATTTTCAAGTGTTTGTAATTAAGTAATGGAAAAAAAAGCTACTTATTTGCTGGCTCTATCTCTGTATGTATGTCTGTATGTTTCGCATTCGCCGCATTCCTTTTATGACGTTAATTAAACGTGGAAATATACACGTGAATATAACCACGGCAGCACAGAGGGAAAAATGATATCCGAATGTGAAAATTTCCACGTAAAATGCGTTCGAATTGGAAACTAGCTAAATAATGTATGAGGTTTTATGCTGATATGCACAGTACAAGCGTAATAAATGTTCAAACAAAAGGCAGTCAGAGAGTGAGTAAAAGAGTGTGAGCGAGCCATCCAACCAGCGCCATTCATGCAATTATTATGTACAAGTGCGAGCACCCCTCCTCTCTCTCTCTGTCTCTTAACTGCCGCTGCCGCAGCCACCATTCAAACCATTTTAATAGACTACGCAATTCTCGAAATTGGCAATATTTAACCAAAACAACATCGCCAACATAATAAATTGTAATTAATTTTATGGATTTACTACACCGAATTTGATTTATTATTATCGTTGTTCGCAATGCAATGACTTGGAATTTATTACAGTGAATGCGATAGGCGATACGACAACGACGACAACGACGACCATGAGTGATCAACTGACTTTTAGTATCATCTCTATTTGATATGTGGCTGACATTATGAAGCGACACGGGAATTTTATCACTCATTCAGTCTCCTTGAAGATGTAAGAGTAATTTGTGGTTAACGGTTATGAACTTCAATATATGAGCGAGAATTTCATTGAATTGCAATTTTGTTCTGCAATATGAGTATGTTTGTTCTGTATGAATAAAGTAATATTAAGCTGGAGAATCGCTTAAATTACGTTGAGGTGTGTTGGGTGGGCTTTTTTTTCTCCATTTTGAACGATAATAATGGTGCCAGGAGAAATATTGTACAATCAATTCCAGTCGGCGACGACGATGACTTTCGACGACGATATAAAAAAAATCGTGAGCCGTAATTGCAGTTTGAACGATAAATTGAAACGAATGAAATGCAACGAGCGTGCTTTGTGGCACATTCAACCATATTTAAATTGCAGCATGACTAGAACAACAACAACAAAAAACGTGCACTACACATACTTTCCTAATGTTCCACATGAAGAATTAAAAATTCACCCATAATATTTACACCTATGATTACATCAAAATGTAAGTGCGTTGATAAAATGCTACGCTCTCTCTTCGTATGACGGGTTTCTTCCTATTATTATCGCATATATACTCACTTTGATTTATGAAGCAAAACCATATATTCTTTAATCATAGTTCATATGTATGAGCTCTGTGTATGTGCATCTAACAATTTACTCATCTGTGAATTCTTTTCTCTCTCTTTCTCTTTAACGCATTTTTCGCAGGAATTTTCAACGCTTACAAAGGAACTGACGCAAGCCAGAGAAACACTACTGGAACGTGATGAGGAGATAGCTGAACTGAAAGCCGAACGGAATAATACACGGGTAAGGAAGCTTTAGCAAGATAGAAAAAAACGATCAAACAAAAGTTTTACTTGTACTGCATTGTACAAGACCAGAGAGAAATTGAACAGAGTTCGAGCACAACTGACAACGACGACAGTGCAGTATGAGCACATGTGTTTTAACTTGTAGAAAGATAGCGAGCAAAGTGAACATATAAAAAACAGAATAACTATCACACTCAACTCGATTATAGAGACAATCGCGATTGAGATTTATAGCGTCAAGTGTAGAATATGGATCATCGAATAAACATGCGGAATATCGGCAAATGCCATTGCAGAATATCGCATCACCATCTCGTTGACTGCATATAAATCAGTCGTTTGGAATAGCAGCAGTAGCAGTTGATAATTCAGGCCACATTGTGAATAAAACACACATTTCAATACGTTTTTCTTTGTTTCGCTCATCGCTTCTTTTAATGTCATTTGATTCAGTGTTTTATTTTTATTACTCGCTAACTCGCTCTCAGTCTTATCTCTAATACAAATCGAATCGAATGCAATTTAGCATATGGTACGCAACTATAAACTATTTTACAATTAAAATATCTCATTCTGTTTGAGAAAATATAGAATAAATAACGAAATGAATTTGGTTTTAAATACGAAAAAAAAAAATGAGAACACATTTGTTGGCCTACAACAAAAATCACTAAATAAACTTGGATATTCTGCTGCCGATTCGATCTCGAATGTAAATGGTTGCGTTGGCCGTTTTGTAGGACATTTCTTTTCCAAATTCGGTTGTTTTCAGCGCCAAGCCTCGACATCGTCGCAGAAATGTCATTCGTTTGTGCGTTTTTTTCGTGCTTTCCTCGATATTCGCTTGCAACGGCTGCGAATCATCCGCTATGACAATCGATGCACCCACCGACATGGCAACCAACAACGCTGACATTTTCATCTTGACTCTTACTTGCTCTCGTTCCAGTTTTTCCTTTCGCTGATTTTCACTTCGTTATTTCAACACTTGATAGGATTTGCTTTGGATTCCCTTTGAGAACTAATTAGCTTTTCTCCGTTGAGATTTCGTTCGCTTGAAAGAAACTTTTTCCAACTATATATTCTTTAACACAAGTATGCACACCAAACTCATGTGCCGCACAATTTTAATTTGATGTGAAATGATGTGTTGCGCGTTGCTTTTATACGTTCGGTGTTTCGTATCATCATGCGATAGTGTGATGCCTTGTTATTCATACATGATGAAAGGGTCATGACATCGTTTCGCGTCGAGTCAGCTGATAAACAACGACGATGACAAAAAAAAAATAACTTGCTCATCATCAGCAAAAAAAAAACACCAAGACTTTGTGTATGCGTTTGTAGGCAAACCGTATTGCCAGTATCATTGCGATGGAAACTTTCGCGCTTAATTTAGAAAACAAATTTGATTATATATTTGCTCATTTCTGTTGCTGCTGCTGCTGCTGCTGCGGTTGCGGTGACGGCGATCGAACGGTGCTCCTCTTTTTGTTGAATTGTATGGAAAAGTACGTCATTGTCGCCTCAATTGAAATATTGATTCGGCTTAAAAATGATGATGTCATTTGCATTTAGGCAACCGAGCAGTGTATGCAGACACATTGCCAACGCTTGAATCATCCACAAGCAAACACACAATATGCTGCTCAATTGACGATTTAATTAATGCGAAATTAAGTGAATGATTTTTGGGTTTTCGTTTTGTTTTCCAGCTACTTCTCGAGCATCTCGAATGTTTGGTGTCGCGACACGAACGATCGCTACGTATGACTGTTGTAAAACGGCAAGCAGCTGCTCAAAGTGGAGTCTCCAGCGAAGTTGAAGTACTGAAGGCGCTCAAAAGTCTATTCGAACATCATAAAGCTTTAGATGAAAAGGTACAGTACATTGAACAACAAAGATAACAAAGACAACAGCAAGAAAACATGTTTTTTTTTGTTCGTTTGCCTCGTTTCCCTATTCGCGAATCGAATTTAATTTAAGCAATCAATGTTTTAAATGAATTCTATTTGAAGCACATGATAAATTCAATGTGTGCACGCTTCTTAACATGTCACACACAAATACTCTCGAAAGAGGGGCACATTGTGTTTATTTTCGCAAAAATTGGCCGAAATGAGGACAACGCGCGAGAAATGTTTACATGTTGCCGGTGAAAAAGTCATGAATGAAATTGTTGATTATTTTGTTTATGTTTACTGATGATAACATTTTTGACGTAAATGTGGGGTTTTTGGTGTCGCTTCTTTTAGGTGCGAGAACGATTGCGAGTGTCACTTGAGAAAAATTCAACGCTTGAAGAAGAACTCAATTCAACCAAAGATGAGGTAAGTTGTACCTTCAATTTTAACGTAACATTGACTGCATTGGCTCAATAACCTAACATCAACCGTCGTGAGAGTCGATTTCTGCTTGCTCAGCAACAGATTTGAAACAACGGATTAACGCGACACACACGCGCGCGCGCGCACGCAAGGAAATTGCAGATAAATTTGCACTAATATTATACTCTGTGCCATGCTAAATTCTTGTTGTTTTATATGTCGTTTTCAGGTTGTATTAGTGAGCACACATTCACACAAATGTGAATGCGAACATTTTTGCTACAGTTACACCGTTTTACTATTGCTAACAATGTCGTCTTTTTTAATATCGCCAACAGTTGCAACAATATAAATCGGGTGCAATTCAACTCTCAAACCAGAGCGATGGCTCAAAGGAGAACCATGACGGAGAAAAGGTAAGAGAGAAAACATAGAATCAACAACACAATTGACTATATAGTCAACATTTATTGTCAAGTAAACTATTTGATGCCATGCGATTCCGTTTTCGTGTTGTATTGTTCGCTGTTGACTTTTTTTTTATTATGCTGACGCAAAAACTTCCCGAATGAACGCGAAAATTTCCGTGTACCATGTTGTGTTAATTAACATCCGGTTCTAATTGATTTTTATTTATCATCCACATTGAAATAATAATCACGCAATATGGTAACGGAAGCTCAAAATTGTCCTATTAAATTTGTTTATTACCGTCGCTTGAGATTTCCTTTGGTAAACGGCATTGTTTTCTTCATTTTTAGCTAAATGTTTCGTTTTTTTCTCAACGATTCTTACATGATGTGTTTTCATTCTCATTTCATTTCAGGGTGTTGGACAAACAGTCAATGGCGAAATTGACTCGGTTGATTATTCGGCCAAAACGCATGAACTGCAAACAATCATTGAGAAACAGGTACTTTTCGAAGCCATTTGTTATTCTTATCATTTGAATTCACTTGATTTTTCTGCCATTTTCAACATACAAACTTATTTTCTTTTATTTGCACATTCTCAATCAGACTGCCGAACTGTCACAATGGCAACGCCGGGTATCCGATTTGAATAACAAAATCAGTGAGCTCGAAGAGAATTTATCGAAAATTCAAAAGGAATTTTCCAAAGCACAAGATACGTGTTCGAAATTGCAACGTGACTTACGCGAAAATGTTGCCCAGAAGGAGGATCAAGAGGAGCGTATTGCAACATTGGAGAAACGCTATTTGCATGCACAACGTGAATCGACATCGTTGCATGATCTGAACGAAAAACTGGAACAAGAACTGCGGCACAAAGAAGCACAATTGAAATTGCAAGACGAAAAAATCGCTGCCATTCAAGAGAAACTCGAATTGTCCGAACAGAAATTGGCACAATTCTCCAAGTTACCCGAAATGGAAGAGCAATTGAAAGCCCGCATGGAGGCTCTCAATCAGGTAGGATCACAGGTAAGTGCAGTGTCAAAACAAAAGATGGTTGACCAGAGAACAACCAAAATTTACTTTACTCTACGCACAATCAATCTATCTTCATTACTATTTACGCTCGGTTTTGGTGTCATGTGTTTTGTACTAGAAATTTTTTTTCCGTTTTTTTTTTCTACTTCATATTTTTTGAAATGATGTTAAAATGTACTTTTTTAGACGAATTTTCTTTAATATTGAACAAATACGTTCAATCGATTGACTTTCATTTGATTAACGTCTTTGCTCACTTATTTCGATTTTACCTTGTTTTTGAGCACTTCTAAACGATTTGGTTTATTAGTTTCGAATATTGTTGAGAGTGTTTTTCACCATGTTTTCTTTCAATCGATGTAATTTTTTCTTTCTTTGAAAAATGGACTCTTTTGATGTAGATGTGCTCGACCATTTTTGAAAGAAACATTTCCGTTTCTTAGTTAAACAATATATAGATCGTATTCAGAGATGAAGTAACATTAAATGTGAGAGAATATTGATTCAACATGGAATCTGATTGGTTGAATGTGTAATTTATGAACAATGAACATGTATGTGTTGTCGAAACATAGATTTTCACAGTTAATTGAGAGGTATAAATATAGTATTTTTACTAGGGAATCATTTTTACTTTTGTAATTTGCTTGTTACGTAACTGATGGAAAATGCGCTAGTTTTATTTGAATACATCGGATAATCATGTAAATTCATTTAAACAAATTATGTTAATTCATCAAATTGCTTTAGCCACGGAAAACTGGATATTAATCTAGAATGTCATCGAGAACACATCCTCCTTCGCAGCTGCCTAAGAAAAAAAAGTTTTGTCAGTAGATTGAAAAAGTTATATAATTGAAATTGTATTTACAGCAACTGAAATCCCAATCAATCTTTGGTACAGCCTTTGCTGCAGCCTTTCCTGTAGCCTTTGCTGTAGCCCCCAACACTTTCTTGATTGATTTCTTGTTCTCATTTAACCAATCTAATAGTTTTGCAGACTCTGGAATTATTTCATCAATTTTTTTTTGCATTGATATCAAAAAAACAGCTTCAACAATTACATACTTTCTTCAATAGGTTTCTTTTGTTTCCTTAGCCACCTTTGTAGATTTTTTAACCCTGAAAATTGATAAAAGTTTAACTATTATCTGTATTGAATCAAATGATTGAAAACACGTATTCAGCATATGTGTTGGATCGCAAACGAACTTGTTACAGTATCCTCCTTTGGTGTGAAATCGCCTGACGCATCACATTCAGTCTTCCACTTTTCCAAAGCAGCAAGATCCTCTGTTTCTGGCGGATTAGCCGCAATCTAGAGAATTGATTTTCACATCTCTATTTGATTAGAACTGACCAAATCAAGGGCTATTGCTTCTTACCTGATCAAAAAGTATGATTGCGACTATAGCAATCAATGTTATCCGTAGTTTGGACATCATTTTCGTTTTTGAGTTTGAACACAGTTTGAACAATATACACTGTTCCGGGATGATACTTCCTTCTGTTTATATATCCTATTTGTCTCACCAATACTGAAAATAATTTACTTGTAAGCATACATGTTTACAATTAGTATAAATTCTAATTCGATCAATTAACACTTGAATAAACAGAACTACGTTCTTGTTTTTATCGAATTGCGAAAAGAAAAATTCGTGAAAAAATTC